CCAAAATTCATGCCAAATGTGACCAATTCGAACAAATCTAAACATATTCAAAAGTTTGAAGCTATGTCCGAAATTTTTTGCTTTCATGCAATAAAATTAAAAAAAATGTAAAAATTATGGCGTTTGACTTTGTTGCAGTTTAAACTCTTAAAGTGTCAAACACACTCACTTCTTGCCTTTCCCAAAAATCATCAGTTAAATATTCTTTCCCCAGAATTATTCGAGATGGGAAGGATTAAAAAAAAGAATGATCAATAGTTAAATAACAAATTACACATGAATTACACATTCCACTAATTGCACATGGGCCACACATTAATTAACACACGAAACATTAAAACTCGTGTGACGCGTTCATTCTGCCTTGACAATTAGGCGCTTTTCATTGGAGTCCTTTACCATGATAATTATCTACCTATTAAGTGGTTTTAATGAGATCGGTGTCAATTCCATTGTTTACGAACGATATAGTTCAATTGAACGTTTCACTGAGAAGAGTAGCAGAACTAGTTTCGTCAATACTCATACTGTAATTCCATGGTAGAAAAATATATGTAGCCGCATCGACACGGCTGCTGGGAAAAATGAAATGTCAAAACTATTTTGCAATTGAAATTTTTTAATGAAAAATTATTCAAATTTGTAAAATCTATTATAATAACCTCCGCTTAACATCGTATGTATAAAAATTCACTTATATTTCAAAAAAAAAAACATTTTAAAATTTTTGACAAATTTTTCTACCAAGTGTGATTCCAATGACAAAAGAGTCGATCATGTCATAATCGTTCCTTCCTACCACGGCTCAATAAATGGGCACTCCATTTGCCGCAGCTGACTATGGTATTAGTTCTATTATGTTGAAAACTTAGTCATCGTTATAAAAGTAGATGCATCAACTCTTGGGAGCATTGAAATGTCAAAAAAATGTAAATGTTTTTTTCAAATATAAGTAGATTTTTATATGTTTTCTTATACTACGTCATTCGGAGGCTACTATATTTCGCGTTTTTCAAAAATTTTTACAAATTTAAATAATTTTTCATTCAACATTTTCAATTCCAAAATTGGTTTGACAGTTCATTGCCCCAGCAGCTGTGTCGACGCGTCTACCTATATTCTTCTACCATGAACCTAAGTTTGTTTTTTTTATAGATTTTGTAGTCAACCGAATTTTAACCGATTTTAATGGCTTCGAAAAAAAAAACCTAATTCAAATCAATAATGGACGCGGACAGATAAAACTATATTTAACTACCTTTAACCCATATTCAATAAAATATTCCTTCAATTTCCTATAATTTAACTGACCCTCACAATAATGTCATGCCATTTAAACTCCCATCCCTAAATAAATCATATGATGCTTGAAATGATCATCGTTAACAAGAGAAAAAACGGCAATAACATAACATTTTATAAATTGACATATTTCAATTTCGACTATTCCCCATCCATTTTCATCACATCTCTATGTCGCCTTGCCATCACAGCTGGCACAGGTATGACAATGACATTTTTAGTTTGTTGTTATGATATGATGGCAGCAATCACTACCAAACTAATTTGCATACAAGCCCTTCAATTTATTTATTTTATAAACTGGAAAAAAAATCCAGAAACAATTGCCCAGAGTCTGTTGGGGAGAAACAACAAAACAACAAAAAAATGCTAGGAAAGCAATACGGATGAGTGGCTGGCCAAGCAACAACAACAACAACAACACTATGCTTGACTTTTATGCTAATTTAATTTGAATTTAAAATTGTTATTTATTTACCAGGTACTCGACCATGTTAATTTGTGTGCTACGGTTCTGCAGTTATGGCATGCATGCATGTTGAGGTAGCACCTTAACCTTAAACGGCATGGGAGTTGCGGTGGTCGGTTTTTGTGTGTGTAAACGCTGTGTGTGCTGACAGAGATGGTTGATGATTTATATGTTGAAATTTTGAAAAACGTTTAACTTGACAATGAATGAATGCCTCACTTCAACAATAAACCCACCAGTCAATGACAACATAAATTGCACAATGACAAAATGGTTTCCATGAAAACGGTAGAGTTTTATAATTGCTGCTGTTTTGTTAATGAAAGTGGAGTAGTGAATGATTTTAGTTTATTAAAAAACTTTTGTTTGGTGATAATATGAAGTAAAGCAAGGAGAAAATCACATTATGTCAGATGTTTTCTAAAGTTTGAGAGTCTTTTAGCGCCTTAAGGTATGCACCAACATTTTTCCAGATGAGGTATTCAAATGTTAATTTTTCTTAAATAAATTTTTGCCACGTTTAAAAATGGGGACATGGTAGGTACATATTAAGATTAATATTAACTGACCCTGAAAGTATGCTATATTAACATGATATTAAGTAAATCTCTAGATTTTGAAATATGAAAAAGTATTGACTCCGTTAATTTGGAATTCTAGATTCTTAAAAGAGTTAATTCAATAATTCTAGGACCGCTTTGCTTTCCAAGAACGTACTTGACTTCAAAAGTCCAAATGATAATATTAGGACATATCGAATCGAAACTTTTCTGTGACCAAAACGTATAAAAAACGAGGAACATGTGAACAATAAATATTCGGATCAGATTCTTTCTGAGAAAATTATTACAAAATTAGTCTCATGAATATGATTTTTAAAATATTTAATAAAATTACACAACAATCCTTAAAGTAAACTTGTAAAAAAGACCTAAATGTATGCTCCATGCATAAAAAACATGCAGAGCTGTGATTATGGATTTTTAAAAAGAAGCAGGGTTTTCAAGGAATAACTTTGGAAGCACTAGGAGAGCTTCGGCCATGGGTTCTAACTTTTGTAGGTGTACCAGATCTTTTTTATTGGTAACATTTTGTTAGATCTCAGATCTACAGGGTGAGATGAAAACACTGCAACCAACTTCAGATTGCTGTCATTTTTAAGCCACTTGTCCGACAGATATTAAAATTATTCCAGTGACAGCCCATCATATTGTTTACAAGCGTACAAAAACATTTTGGTGAGAATTTTCCAGAAAAAAAGTTATTCGCGATGGAATTCAAGCGTGATAGTGTGATTTCTTTATATTTGCCTGGAAAACCACAAGTGGTTATCGTTGGAGCACTGCAGCATTTAAAAGTTAATAAATCTTTTGTGTTTTGTACCATCGCCCGTTATCGTGATACTGATGGTGTAGCCCGACGTCAAGGAAGTGGACGGAAGAAAACAGCAACATCAGCAGAAATGGTTCGAAAAGTAAAGAAGCGACTTGATCGAAACCTGTGGTGCAGTGACCGAAAAATGGCTCGTGAGCTGAACATATCGCAATATTCCATTCGGCAAATATTGAAAAATGAGCTCGGGGTAAAGCCATTGAAATTCCAAACAGTGCAAGAACTTACTCCGCAACAAAAAGAAAATAGACTCAAAAGAGCTATAGAGTTGCTTCGCTTGGCCGAAAGTGTTGAACTGTCGAATTTGTTTTTCTCCGATGAGAAAACATTCGTTGTCCAGCAGTTTGTAAACAAAAAAAGATCGTGTTTACTTGCCAAAGAGGTCAGCTGAAAATGTCACCTTCGGTTGGCTACCAGAACTCAAGCGCCGGCCATGGTGTGGGCCGCCATAACAGCCGATGGTCGCTCTCCGTGGCATCAGAATAAATGCCGAATATTATCGCGAAAATATTCTAGAGGGTGTATTATAGCATTGGGCACGCAAACATTTTGGCCGCAGACATTGGACATTCCAACAGGACACAGCACCATCGCGCTCAGCACGCTGCACCCAAGAATGGTTACAAAATGAGGTTCCTCGCTTCATTTCCAGCGCACAATGGCCACCAAAATCTCCGGATACCAATATCAAAGTGTCGGTCACCTCAAGCAAGCGCTTCGCCGGGAATGGGCCAAAATACCGCAGAGCAATATTCTGGCAGTTTGAAGGCCATAATTCATGCCAAAGGTGAACCAATTCGAACAAATCAAAACTTATTCTAAAATTTGATGCTATTTCCGAAATTTTTTGTTTTCATTCAATACAATTTGAAAAAAAAAATGCTAAAATTATAGCGTTTGACCTTGTTGCAGTCTTTACCTGTACACACTTGCACGCTAAAAAAATTATATTAAAAAATTTCAATTTTTTAGGAAAATGTTATAGATTTTCGTAAAAAATGTTGTTAGAAGATCCCTTAATTTTTTTAATAAATTTTAAAATAGAATTTTTTGGGATTTTCGGGCATATTTTCTGAAGAACTTTTAGGATTTTTTAATATGTTGCGATACATATTAAATTATAATAATATAATAAAATTACAATAATAACTGAAATTCTTTTTGTTGTAACAGACGAAACTAACTTAAATGGTTATGCTACTTCGTTCATGTAAAACGAAAGCATAACAAGTGGAGAAAGATGAAAATGTTTGTAAGTGCGGTTGTAAGATTTAGAAGATTTTTCAAAAGAATTTTAGTTTTATGCAATTCTTTGGTTCGTCTTCTATTGAGCTTACGATCTCGTCGCTTGGCTAAAACAAGTTTTTTGTCACATAAGTTATTTTTAAAATAACTTCTAGAGAGAATATCCCAGACAAAAAACAAGGGAACTGATGAAAATTGGGGGCTCTTTCCGAAACCTAGGTATTCACTGCCTTAGCCCCTGGTAAACATTACCATCGTTCCGCACTAATAAACAAACTTTGTTTTTATAAAAACAACAATAAAGGGATTAAGCCTGACAATTTTGCAACAACAAAATACTACGGTATCCCGAACAAACAAGCCAACACTGTTCTATAATTTAAAATTTTATTTTAAGTTTAAAAAAGGTTTTCTTTCGATTTTTTGAAAATTTCTTTTGAAATATATTTGGAGATTTCCAAAAAAATCATTTAACGGATCTTTCAATAATATCAGATTTATAATCACGTAAATTTAAAAAAACTCCAGTTTTCGTTATTTATATCCTAAAAGTATACTACATAAATTTGTGTTTATTTCGAAATTCACTCACCTTAATGCTATAATTTTACATTGTTCCTCGGGCGAGGGCAGTCGATGATTTAAAGGCACATCGTTATTGATATCATTAGGAATATGACTGTTATCGATTAATGTATTATTGTGATCAATGGAATATAATGCGTCTACAGCATCAGCTGATAGCACGGACGGAGATAGGGCCGGTGTTAGGACACCATTGTCACCAATGACAACAGATGTTGAAATCGATGTATCCACATGGTGCATACAATCCGGTGTAACGGTAACATCACCCAATGCCTCGCTGGAGGTCCATTTGCGTAGATCTTCAATGGCGGCAGGCTGTAACAAAAAGAAGAAAAATATTACAAACAAATCAAAAAAAAAAAAAAAAACGTTATGTCATAGTGTTTTCAAAATAAATGTCCTAGCACGAGTTACAACACAATGTTGGTATTTTTAGGCATGCTATTTTTAATTTCAATTTTCTTTTTTCTTCAAAGGCCAAAGACATAAAACTTCAAAATGGCTTTACTCACGCAAAATTGTTCGCTTTGGAAAAGCAAAGTATTAAAACGTGTGATTTGTTAGTTTGTTGGTGCAAGGTAAAGAGAGAGAGAGATAGAGAGAGAGAAATGTAAGAAAAATCGATTTTATATAAAATCATGGTCATTTATTGTAGCTGTTGGCCACGGGCCAAAATGTCGCCCAGACTTGTGCCAGAAAGTAGCCGAGACGCATTGGTAGCTTTGTGTGCAAAGAGCATTGACATTAAAATAATATTGGAAGCATACTTTTAGGGAATTTGAAAAAAAATTTTGCATATTTATTATTATGCTATAAGAGTTGAAAGCTTATTGCATATATTCAGGCGAAAATACATATACACATTAAAACGATTTGGATTTTAATTAACGTTTCTTAGTTATCCTGCCAGTACAGATGTAATAACTAATAAATTGTGAGTTTTGGCGCAAAGGAGTCATCTTTAATATCAAAAAAAAGATTTCGAGGGATATTTTTTATTAAAATATAAATATTACTTTTTATCCTGTGAGATGGAATGACGATGAAATTCTTCAGATATCAGGATTTAATTTTGGGCACACCTTTTTTACTCATTTTTTTTTGAAAGCAACATTGTAATAACTCTGACAATTATTATTGTTTGTCTAGTTTAATATGATTGCAGATGGAAATTCATAGCATACCTTTAGGCAAAACAAGTTTTATAAAATATGATAAAAGTTAGACGACAACACAAAAATATTTTCAAATTGATAAGGAGCTTTTGTGTGTGATTTAAGCCTTAACATATGTGGCCATGATGTATGGAAATACATACACATATATGTGTGTGTGTAGATGTTTCTAAATTTAGTTTGTCATACGAACATTGTCACACCCAACTAATTTGGCAAATATGTTTGTTGTTATCAATCAATAAAATTAAATGTCTACATTTGGGATGCAAATTAAAATTTATAAAATCTTAAAGCATACATTTTGGATTACGGTAAATGAAAATTCAATATTTATTTTGAATAATAAAACGAAGAGAAATAAAAAAAAATAAGGGGCTATAAAAGCCGTTATTGTAACTTCTGTGAAAATGAATTTATGTGACTGAGAATACATTTAAGTGATGGATTTCAAGAAATAAAATTAAATGTATAAATTTATAAAACATTAAAGCATACATTTAGGATTAAATTTAATTTAAATTAAATATTTATTTTGAAGGATAAGAAATAAAGAAGAATATTTTTTTTTTAAATCTATTAAATACATAACCTTGGGCTTAGAAGAATATTATTTGAAGAATTTTAATAACTTTAATTGTGGGTTTTTAAGAATATTGTTAAAGAACTATAAGATAAATAGCCGTTGATACGAATAGTTCTTAAGGACTATCAAGGCCATTATTTTGGATTTTCGAGAATATTTTTTTAAGGACTATAAGACATATGATTGTGGATTTTTAAGGGTATTTTATGAAGAACATTAAGATCCATTATCCTGAATTTTTTAAAAATAAAAAAAAAAAAATTGAAGAACCATAATCGTCGATATTTCAAAAATTATGATTTTTAAAAAAATATTTTTAAAGGTCTATAAGACCCATATTCGCGGTTTTTTAAGAATATTTTGTGAAGAACTTTAGGATCCATAATCCCGGATTAAAAAAAGATTGAGGACCTATAATTGTGGAATTTTTAAGAATAATTTTTGGAAAATTGTGAAGCCAATAATTATAGATTTTTTAAGAATATTTTTTTAAAGGACTATGAGACCCATATTCGTAGATTTTTAAGAATATGTACTTTATTAAGAACTTTAGGATCCATAATCCCGGATTAAAAAAATTAAAGGTTCATAATCGTGGATTGCTTAAGAATATTGTTTGTAGAGCTATAGGACCAATAATTTTGTATTTTTTTTTTTAAATGCCTTTAAAGGACAATAGGACCCATGCTCGCGAATTTTTCAGAATATTTTTTGAAAAGATTAAGATTTTTAGATTGTGGAGTTTTTTATGAATATGAGTTGATGAACTATCAAGGTCATAGATACAGATTTTTCAAGGAATATAGTATGAAGGACAATTAAGACCTCAAACATGGATTTTAAGAACATTTTTTAAAGTTTATAAAGATTTGTGTGAGAATATTTTTATAGGACTTTCAATGCTATAAAAGTGGATTTTTGATGAGTTATAATTTGAGATTTTTTAGAAGGACTATTAGATCCATGAAAGTGTATTTAAGAATATTTTCTGCGGAACTTTCAGACCGACAGTCGCAGATCTTTTAACAATATTTTTTGAAGGACTATAAGACCCATAATCGTGGATTTTTCCGAATATTTTTTGAAAATGCTGATTTTATTTAAAAAATTGAACGATTGAGAATTTAAGAAAATACTTTTTAAAAGATTATGAAAGCGGATTCGAAAAATCGGCAACCAACTTCAGACTGCTGTCATTTCTAAGCCACTCGTCCGATAGCTGTTAAAATTATTCCAGTGACAGCTCATTATTTTGTTTACAAGCGCCCAAAAGCATTTTGGTGAGAATTTTCCAGAAAATAAGATATTCGTGATGGAATTCAAGCGTGATAGTTTGATTTCTTTATATTTAGCTGAAAAACCACAAGTGGCTATTGTTAGAGCACTCCAGCACGTCAAGGAAGTGGACGGAAGAAAACAGCAACATCAGCAGAAATGGTTCGAAAAGAAAAGAAGCGACTTGATCGAAACCTGCGTCGCAGTGGCCGAAAAAAGGCTCGTGAGCTGAACATATCGCAGTATTCCATTTGGCAAATATTGAAAAATTAACAAAGAAAAGAAATATTTATTTCAATTATATATCAAAAAAATATTTGCAGCAATATTCCAAAAAAATCCTTATTTTTTTATAAATTTTTCCTTGGAATTTTATCGAGTTAACGCCAGAAAGTAACATAAAAATTCGTGTTAGGCGAAAGATGTTAAAAGAAGAAATATTTTACACAAAATTTCACTATAAATCTCGGAATAAACCAAACATCATTTTAGAATTGTTTTTATGAAAATTACATTCAAAATTTATGAACTAAAAGAAAAATTATACCTTCGCTTTTTGTACTTTTAATTTAACACGTATCCAATCCGAGTATCCAATACTTAATTTTCGTCATCTACTGATCTTTCCCCGTAATTATTCAAAAAATTGAATTTTGTTGCACAGTGTTACTTACGAATATTTTTAAAGGCTATAACGTGGAATTTTGAGAATATTGTTTGCAGGATACAAAAGTGTATTTTTTAGATTATTTTTGAAGGCTATAAATGAGAGATTTTGGAGAATGTTGCAAATGTAGATTTTTAATATTGTTACCTTTTCATCGTCCACATATCACACATATCTTTCAATAACTTTATTAATACCCCTCGATAAAAATTAGTATGGAAAATATTTCAATTAATAGAACGCCATTAAACCTCATTAGTTTTATCTTCCGCTTTTTCCCCCTTTATAATTTTTATTTACGTGGAAGTAAGCGAATGATGTTTATTGTCATTGCGTTCATATTCAATAATTTTAAGTGTCTTATATAACACATCTGGAGACAGGCTCGCTTGGAAATAAGCATAATGATCAGAAAACTTCCCTTGCCATGCAAGCCAACTGGCATCCATGCCATGTAACCATGTGTTTGGTCTGTCTGCTCATTTAAAGTTTATCAAACCCAATAAAGTTTGGGTTTTAATGAGAAGTTTTGTGTCGGTGACTGGGTTGTGGAAGCACAATGCTTCTGCTCCCCACTTGTATGGCATTAACGTATTGCACGTTTACATTTGGGAAATAAAACTCCTGTTTTTTCTGACACAATAGTCCGGCTGATAAATATACAGATAAATTCTTTATAAAAAAACAAAACAGGTATGAATATACCTGTGTGGGTGAGATTGTGTGTATATAAAAGTAAAATCTCAACTGAATACAATCACTATTTATCTTTATAGCCACTCTTTTAGGCTGCATTATGCACAGAGCATACTTTGGGGCTGTTAAATGCAATGTTTTTTTTTTTGGTTTGTTATAAAATGTAAATTATATAATTTGTTCAATGTGAAATACGATGCAATAACAAGGATACAACATTACATGTGCATATGTAGCAAACAAATTTAAGTGTTTTTCCTCTTGGGCAAGAATACTATTGACAATAGAGGCGGGATATATGGGCATTTATGGTGAGTACAAATTCATTTTTAATGTACAAATATTATGCCAGCGAATGAATTTTGGCTCAGAAAAAACATGAAAAGAGATTATGCAGGGAAATGGTAAACATATTTTTTTATTGGCAATGTCATATGCAATGGCTCCAAAGGATGTTTGGAAAATAAAATCAAGTTTGGGCGCCATAAATTGAAATGAAGTGGAAAAAATAAATGTCTGATGCATACTTTTAGGCCATTTATAAAATAAAATACCCTTCATTAATTTTATGAAAATTTCATTAGAAAATAGATTTTTATTTTTTGTTCCGGGTGTTATATTTGTTATCAAAATATTATTGGACGGATTAGGCCATAGATCTGACATATTTTTTTTTAATTTTTGTGGAAATGTCGAAGATATTTTGAAAAAAATTTAAAATGATTTATTTAAAATGTTCATTATAAATTAAATGTCCAAGTTAAGTCCAGATCACACATGACGTTAGAATCATATGTAAATTGATTTTTTTCTTATTTATTTTTAGCATTTTTAAAGCATACTTTTAGACGCTCTCCAAAATTTGTTCAAATAAAACCAGTAAAGAAAGCCTAAAAGTCGGAGGGAGCCGACTTTA